CTTTCAGTTCTTGTGGTTTAAACCTGAACGTCTCAGTCCACCATCCTACACTCCTGACGCCTGTGGGTCACTACCGACGTTGAAGTCCCCGTACCTGCGTCCCCTACAGCGAAAGTCTCCTGAGGAAACAACACAGAGCAGGAGGAGGACGAGGACGAAATGGCTGCTTCTCAGGGACGGCTGACATTCAGAGATGTGGCCATAGATTTCTCTCAGGAGGACTGGGAGTGCCTTCACCCAGCTGAGCGGAAACTGTACATGGACGTGATGTTGGAGAACTACAGGAACCTGCGCTCTCTGGCTATGTCTTCTGAGGACACCTTGGACTTGTTGCCAAACCCAGGAATAGAAGATTCATTCCACAATATGCTACTGAGTATGTGTAATGATGAGAGAAGTTATCAATTCAGTGAATCTTGGAAAAACTTTAAACAAGGGTCAGATCCTAATAAGCATCAGAGATTTCAGTTTCCAGAGAACCAGCATACACATGGGAAAGACTTTCATGAAAGCTCAAATCTTACATAGCTCAATAGTTACATTGTAGAGAAATCAAACAAATGCAGTGAATTTGACAAGTCTTTGAACCAATCTTTATATCTTACTGAACATGAGAATATTTATACTGGAGAGGAACCTTACAAATGTATTTCGTGTGGGCGAGTCTTTAGTCCATTACCCAGTCTAAAGGGACATAGGAAAACCCACACTGGAGGGAAGCTTTACAAATGCGAACGCTGCGGCAAAGCGTTTCCTCGGCATTCAGCTCTCACTGAATACAGAAGAATTCATGCTGGAGAGAAGCCTTTCGAATGCAGAGAATGTGGTAATGCCTTTATTCACCGTTCATATCTTACTAGATATGAGAGAATTCGTACCGGAGAGAAGTCATTACTCACCATTTACAATTTATTCAACACATGAAAATTCATAACGGAGAGAAACCTTAAAATTGAAGAATCCAAGAAACCCTGCAGCTGGACCTACAGCCTTACTCAATATCAGAGAACGCTTACCGTGGAGAAATTACATTCAAAATCAACAATGAAAACCCTTTGTTCAAAATATAAACTTCAGAAAATCCACATAATTCATGCTCCAAAGTGACTTTAAAGATATAAAATAATGTGAGAAAATGTTTACTTGAAAATGAAATCTGAAATATCAAAGAATTGACATTACAAAGCAGTCAGTACAGAACAGTTTTCAGATATTACTTTAAATCAGAATACATATAGAAAATAAGCAAATGTTAAAAAACTTGTGAATATGTTTGAAAGTATCAAGGGGTTGGATGTTGGAAACGTATAATTCTTTACAATGAGTACTTGAGGTTTATTGAAAAGGAAATGTTAAAGTGATCCCACTGTGAAGTCACTTGATGCTATGTTTTTTTTTACTCCGAGTGTGTGTGAATCATGGCTTGCTTGTTGCTGTCATTTGAGAGCCACTGTATGTTCGGTGGGATTCACTCAGAAATACTTTTCCCTGGAAGTCTGAGGGCACTCACTGTAATTCACAATGTATGATGAAAATCTAAGTGGAGATGCTGTTTGGTTGATTTAGAATGTTGATGTAAGTCAGCGTGAAGTAGGTGTTGAGGGCATCATTCTCTGCATTTATGTGAGACAGGAACATTCTGAATTTTCATTAGTTTTACCAGTTGCTCTTTAAGGAAAATAAGGTGGTGGTTTTTGAAACCCTGATGTATCTTTGTAGTAGCCATAGCTAGGAGTGCTGAATATTACCAGATGTAGTTAAAATAAAGAAGTCTTCGGAGATATCTGAGAAAGTACAGACAACTCACGCCTAAGTGCATAAATTATTGTATACCTTGTTTTCTAAATAATGAACCTCGGTCTTCAAACCCATGGAAAACAGAGCTGTAAAGTCATTATATCAGAACAACCAGAATGTTTCTTAAATGCTTATTATCTGTATTTTGTGCATGGATCTTACAGGTGGTTTGCCATGCTTTACTTAGACTGTGTGTGAACTTATATTTACACTAATAATAAAGCGAATGATTTTTAATGTAAATAAATAAATATGCCATACAATTGAAGATTTTAAAATATGTTTCTAAATAAATCCTAGGAGAGACTAAATAGCAAAAGAATTGAAAACTATCTAAAAATGAACAACAATAATAATTCTACGTATCAAAATTTGTGGGCTGCAGATAAATCAGCATTTAAATGGGAAATTTGTTAAGTGCTTATATGAGAAAAGTGGAAATGAAGTGAGCATCTGAAGAAAGAAAAATTTTAAAGGACAATAGAATAAATCTGAAGACAGATGAGGAAGAAGAAGAAGAAAAAGAAACTAAATGAAATAGAAAATACAAATAGAAAAGAGAAACTTCACAAAGATAAATTTTGGTTCTTGGAAAATTATAATAAAAACGATTTTAGAAAGCTGATCCCCCCAAAAGGAAAAAAGAAGAATAAATAAACATATTAGGAATAAATAAAGGGGACACAACAACATACACAGCAGAAGTTAAGGTGAGAGAATATTATGGGCAACTTTTAGCCAATACATTTGAAAACTTATGATGAAATGAATACATTTCTAGAAATACATAACCCCGGGATCAATCAAAGAAGCAGACACTAAAAGAATTGAATCAATAGTTAGAAATGTTCCCACAATGCAGTGTTATGAAACATTTAAGAACAGTTAATTTCATCTCATATGTATTATTTCAGAAACTACAAAAAGGAGCAACAATCCAAAACCAGTAAGTAAAAAGAACTGGGACAAGAAAAATTATAGACCTATTTCAATGACTATAGACACAAAAGTCCTGAGTAAAATATTAACAAAACAAATTCAGTTACATATAAAAAAACAATCCATCTGGCCTAGCTGGAGTTGTCCCAGGAATGCTAATTTGGTTCAACAGAAGAAAATTGATGAATGTAATCTATCACATTAGTGGATGAGAAGAAGCAGAAAAGGTATTCGATGATATTTAATAGCAAATCAAGCTTTAAAAAAAAACCTCTTGGCAAAACAGGGAAAGAAAGGAAATCCCTTAATCTGATAAAGGGTACATTAAAATCATGCTTAATGGGGAAACATTTGAAGCAGTCTCTTTATAATCAAGCTCAAGATAAGCAAAGTCCACAATTACTGCTTCTGCCAGCATAAGGGAGGTCAGCAGAGCGAGATAAGAAAAATAAATAAAAGGCATAAGGATTGAAAACGAAGAAATAAAGCTGTCATTATTTGCTGGTGATAGGACTGTCTCTTCAGAAAACCCAAAAGAGAAATAAAAAGAGAGTTTACTGTTAATATATAAAAGTTATGTGTTCTATACTCCGCGTGAATTAAGTAGAAAACGTCAAATGCAAAACAATGAAGTCAGAAGAAATTAAATGCAAGTATGATTTTGTTTACAGAAAGGCAAAAAAGAGGCAAAATTCTAAAACAGACTCTTTGCAGATACATACACCTGCCATAAAGCTATGAAGAATACCAAGGAGGTGGTTGATACCAAATTAAGGATAAAGTTTACTTCTAGGGTGGGGGTAAGAAGGGGGAAGTTAGGGAGAGAAACTTCAAAAGCACCAATAAGATTGCACTTCTTAAGATAGGTGTGCCTTTGTTATTATTCTTTACACTGTACATTATAGTATATATACTTTTTTTAAAGAGAAGGCTCTGAAGGGTAAAATACTTTTCATTAATAATAGTTGCATGTTTTAATGTTTTTCTCCCCGTTTAGTTTGTATTTTCAGATATTTCTACAAGGGTGGATAGCTTTTATACTCAGAAACATGAAAGCAATTTCCTTTAAAAAGTCTTTAGGTGACTAAAAATCACTCTAATTTTATATTTAGGATAATAAAATATTTGTTAAAGAATGCATACATTTGTGCTACATATGTTTCTGGGACACATCTACTGCTTTTAATCCAACTGTTGTTTTGATAAACTTTGGGTCAATCTACTATTTTAATTGGATAACACTTTAAACAGTTTGAGGAGTTGGTTATTTAATGAGAACTTATGGCAAATTTATGATAACTTTACAAGCATCTTAGTAGACCTTTTTAAAGTAAACATCCCCACTCAAAATCAAATATAGATAATGAGAATGTATTTTACTATTTAAGATAATTTTCAAGGAAGGCTTACTAATATTTACCTAGCCTTTAAGCCAGGAATTTAAATAATAATATTTACCTGGACAAATAACTACACAACTAACTCACACTATTTTTCAACTAATCTCATCTCTGATTAATCTGGCAGAGGTGCAAGAAATCTATGAAAAGGCAGCTTTTCCCCCAAGGAAAGCACTAACAGCCCTGGGCGGTAACGAATGAATATTGTTCTTTAACAGGCTAATTTTGTTTACACCGCATTGATGACTTTTATAAAAAGAAAATTCCGCTTCTAGGGAATAAACACACATGGAACCACAAGAAGATACAGGCTTTATAATGTTGCTAATTGCCAATACAAGTCCATTTCGAGATCAGCTTTTGAGAGAACTCACAAAGGCCAGGCTTCAACTTCAACCTGTGATCAGCCTGAGTGCCTCACTCAGGAGTCAGGCCAGCTGTGAGTCTCTTTATCGTCCTAACGGAGGCATTAGGAGAGCCAGGCTCTTCCAGATGACGCTGAACGGGCTGCTCTGTCTGCTCTGGCTTTCAAGAGAGGTGGAGTTTTTCTCTGAAAAGCCATTAACAGGAAGCCACAATCTCTAGACACCGCGCGCTACTGCTGTGCTCAGGTCTACTCTCCATGCTATCACCCTGGTGATTGAACAAATAAGCAAGCCGCTGGCTCCTCACAGTGCGAGTCCCCAAGTTTTAGCTTCTGGTTCCCCTTGACAGTTGACACAAACTGAAAACGATCCCAAGCTGAGTGGCTTTTTTGTGGCTACATCAGGAAGGAGAAGTTGGGTACCGACACATTGGCGGGGGTGGGNGGGGGTGGGACGACGAACATTAAAAAGGGAAATGAAAGACTCACTTTCACCTTACCTTTTCAACGTCTGCTTTTGTCACGTTTATGTCAGCATCCATTTTCTCAAAGTACTGCTGGGCTCGGTCGGCCTCCTTGCAATCCCGCTCAAACCGTCTTTTGCTCTAAAAGCAGAGGGAAATGGTGGTGGGGAAAGTCATTGTGAATGAAACCATGAGATTCCTATGGACAGATACAATTTCACCCAAATCCCCCAAAGACCATTCTTCTCTGAACTGATTGGCTCTGTGTCTTCATTTCGGGACGTTATTTTCAAATCGGCATTTCTGTCCACCCAAACCACCCACCTCGGACCCCTCCATCCTCTCCAGCCCTCGGCCACCACCCATCGGCTTTCTTTGCTAAGTCTTTGTTCTTTCCATTCGATTTTTAGAAAAATGCTCTCCGTGAGCTCTTTTGGACGGACATTTTACTACAGATAAAAGCGTCCAGAAACATATCAAATCCAAATTAGGCAAGTTTCTAATGGTATTTCTTTACTGTTTTCACTTGTTTTGTGCTTACTGATTCAAGCTGCTTCCAGCAAGTCTCTATGTGCTGCTGCGCCTTCCGTCCTTCGTGAAAGTGCTGGAAGCAGAAACGGACCTGTGATTAGTACATGCTCCTCCTCTTACTAATGCCCAAGGGGAAAAAAACCCTCCACTCAAGTAATACTTAAATATGGAATACCCAGCAGATGCGCTCCCAAGAAATTTGAGAGTTAAAAAATAAAGAGGAAAGGCAAACGAGAATAGTCAGAGTTCCCTTTAAGGCTTTCGATATTACAATATTGAGTTCGAACACTTATACACACCACTTATAAAAATGACAGGGATGTTTTATTAAGACAAAATCACATCTTTATTTTTAATTGCTTTGAGATGCAATTCACATCCCATACAATTCACTCATTCAAACTGGACGATTCAATGGTTTTTAGTATAGTCACAAAATTATGCAGCCATCACTACAGTCAATTTTATAATTTTTTTTTATCACAGCCAAAAGAAATCTTGCACCTTTTAGCTGTCACCACATCCTCCCCAGCCCCAGGCAACCACCAATCTTCTTCCTGCCTCTAGACTTGCCTATCCTAGATGTTTTATATAAATGGGATCACACAATATATGTGACTGGCGTAATGCTTTCATTATTTCATAATGTTCACTTAGCACAATGTTTTCAAGGTTCATCCACGTTGTCACATGTATCAGTACTTTATTCCTGTATATTCCAAGTGACAGTCCGCTGCATGGATATATATCACAACTGGTTTATCCATTTACCAGCCGATGGACATTGGGGTTGTTCCCAGTTTGGGGCAATTACAAATAATGCTGCTACAAACATTTGTGTAGAAGTATTATGTACATGGATGCTTCCGTCACTTAGATCTTTTCAAACTTGAAGATAAAGTCGCCTCCCTGCTATCTGCAAAGGCCCTGAAGCCAGTGTGGGCCTCGTGTTGACCAGCAGGGACACCAGAGGACTAGATCAGGATGAGCCGCAAGAATATTAGGAGATGGGGTCAGAGAAGGGGCAGATTGTGTGGGGTCTTATGGACTTTTTGTCTGACGACCTGGGAGCCGTGGATGACTCAGTACAGAAGCGCCATGTTGTGAAGGAAAGTTCCAGGTAGGAGGCTCTGTCTCCAACCCTGGAGATGACAGACTTGGACCACGGGGTAGCAGTGCAGGTGGAGAGAGAGGGTCAGAGTCTGGGTGTCCTGTGATCAGAAAAGCCACCAGGCTGCGCTGGTGCATTGGATCAGATGTGGGCAGTGATGTATTCAGGTGGCAGAGTGACTCTGAGGTGGTCCTGACCTGCCTGGGCAGTGTGAACGGGCTCCCTTGCCCTCTGGTGCTGTTAGGTTTGCCTGGACAGGTTCCGGCCTATCAGAGGGCAGGAATTTACATCTGCAGCTTCCTCCAGCCAAGATGCTATAGGTTGGCTGGGTCCCTCAACCAAAGGCCGTGGCTGTGGTCAGGCAGACCCCCAGAGCTCTTTGAAGTTCCTGAGACGCCCCCCTCCGCCCCCCGCCCTCCGGGACCTGGGGCCACAGAAGCTCCCCACTGCGATCAGCCCTGGGGTTCTCACCATCCCTTACTGCTTTTCCTGAGCTCTCTCCGCAAAGTCCTAAATGCTCTATTTAATAACCGGCCTTCCTTCAGTTACTAGGTTGAATGTGCTGTTTGTTTTCTGATCGACAGGTAAGCACTGGTGGTGGGCGGTGCTCTGGAGAAGGCAGGGTGGCACAGGGACAGAAACGACGAGGTCCCCTCAGTGCAGCCTCAGAGCGTTTTCTCTCCTTGTCAGCACCTATGGCTCAGCGGAGTCACAAAAGATAGCTGGCTACTGCGAGGCTGGGGAGGAGGAGACAAAATCAGGTTGTTGTTGTTTTTTTTTTTTAAAGAACAGTGCTCCTTTATAAGGGAATGTTTCTTGTCTCTCTTTTGAGGTCACATTTCACTGTTTTAAGTACCTCTTCACAGCACGTTTTAGCCATCCAGCCATTTTTTGGTTTCTATGAACCCAAGAGCAGCCCCGGGGGGAGCTTCATTTTTCAAGTCTCCTAATAGACACAGGGAAGCGACCAAAAAGAGATGGAGGCTCAGGGTAGATTCGAATAAGCAAGCAAGAAGGAACCAAGGCTGTGAGAGAAAGGAGTGGAGCTGCGGGCAGAGTCAGGAAAGCCTTGAACTCTGGAGGAAGCAGAAGGTGCAAGCAGGTTTTCCGAAAGCCACAAACATCATTTTTTTAAAAAAATAGAGCGAAGAAGCGAGGGAGGTACTCAGGGGAAAAGAGAGCCGGGCAGCCTAGGAGGCAGAGGGACAGGCTCGAGGAGGGAGTCAAAGGCTCAGCTGTGACCTTCAGTGAGGCGCCTTCCGTCCTGGAAGTCCCTGTCCACTCAGAAACGCCACTTTCCCCAATTGTCAAGAGGCCTCGCCCTATTTTGCAAGCAGAATCACCGTGTTCCGTAGCTGGCTGAAAAGATTGCACCATTCCCCCCAATTCCACTGTGAGATTCCAAGACGGCCGCAAACAGAAAACCTCGGCACCAAATTCAGAGCCCTGCTCTGGAGATCTACAGCAACTCTTTTAAAATGAATGTTTTCACAAAACAAAAGGTTCCTGAGTAGAGAGAGGAAATGCACACACAGGAACAAGCAGAAAGGGACCGCTGCTGCCCAGGAAGGGCTTCCCTGTCACAGGAATCTTCTCTGAAGACAGTCTATAGTCTTCCAAAAAAAAAAAAAAGTCATATTTTGGAGAGATGATTTTGATAGGAAACCCACATAAGAAATTGTCTCACCGCTCCTTCATTTAACTATTTAATAATAAATATAAATTTATTTTTCAAGGACAGTGTGGACCTTGACTTTGCTGGTGAGATTTCACCTAAGAAGGACCCCCCCACACCCCCATCGCCCAGCCACAGTTCTGTCAGACTAAACAAATGATCTGAAAGCTACCCTTGTGACGGTAACATTTCATGTGACCTAAGAAACAAATCTAAGCATCGGTGATTTTCCTTCCAATCTTTCTTTCACCGGATGTGTTCCTGCAAATGTATTGGCTATAACACACACACACACACACAAATAACGCTGCCGCTGATCCCTTGGGAAACGAAGGGATGGAACAAAAGACCTCCTTGCGGTTCTGAACATACCATGACCTAGATAGCGGCCGTCATTTGTATCCAGCTCCTCCTAGAATCGAAATAGCTATTTTTAACAGTTACAAAGTTAAACAAACCGGCTTGCCAGATGTTTGTTGTTTATTAACAAACAATGGCAAAACATGTCTTTCCCGGACAGAGAGCAAGTGTGCATCTAAAAAGTGTGCCTCCAAGCTCTAAATAAAGAGGAATTGTTCTCTAGAAAAAGATAATAAGCACTTTTTTCCGAGCCTCGGAATGAAGTCATCACAGCTCGTTTCTCCTATCAGAGGAGAGACAGGAAATGCCATCTCCAGAGATCTGGAGAAACGCTCCCGGCTTGCTCCTGTAATAAGATGCGGTAGTTTCTCTTCAAACATAATAAGACTTTTTAAAAATGCCTGATGGTATCCGGGGGAGGGCTAAATTCACTTATTTTCATGTCAACATTTTGGTTGACTCTTAAAAACATACAAATAAAATCATCCTTCAAAAAAGGTTTTGGAAATTTCCCAGTGACCAGGGATAGCTGAGATCAAAATCTCAGGAACCTAAAATAAGCATGAACTTAAAGAAAAATTACAAGGGCAAAGCTTTCGAGAATATTTTACTTTTACTACTCTACAAGAAATCATACTTCGGCTGAATAGACAACCCGTGAGACATGTTTATTATTCACAGTCTACAATCTGGTACAACAGCTGCTCACTTTTACTGTATATATAATACATATTATATATATATATATATATATATACACACACGCATAATAGGCCATTAATTTAAATAACTCTTTAATAAAGCAAACTAGGGCACTGATGTGAGAACAGCCACTTCAGAGAAAAAAAAGTGGAAAAAAAAAAGAATAAACACTCAATTGAGGATACTCAACCATCTGGAATTTTAAACAAAACTCAGATTCCACAGATGAAAACAAAGGAACACAAAGTCTTGAAAAGGCCAAAGAAAAAAGGAGCACCCAGAAAATGTGACAAGTATTAGAACTTCCTCAAAACCTCGGGCGAGGTGGGTTTGAACACTAGCCCTTCTAAGTCTGACTCGGGGTTCATTCACGGAACGATAAATCTCTGTGGTTTAGATATTAATGTGGCCTGGGCAGGGAAAGTGTGACACACCTTCAGACTGGCTCAAAGGAGCATTTCACCCTCTCACTTAAATCCCACACCATCACCCCAGAAACGTTCATGATGGGAGTTGCTTTCCGCTGGCACTCAGTAAGGCTGATTTCCCCAAATTCATTTATAAGAAAAATACCTTCTCAATGAACTTGTTTAAAGTTCCTAAAATGCCTGCCTCCTACTGTCACGCTCAGTGGCTAACTTCACCCACAACACTGACCATCTGGGCACGGGGCAGGGGACCGAGCCCTGGCCCAGGTCCCGGCTCCTCCCCTCCCACTCCTGGAGTCCCTTCCCCCACGTTGCTTCTGCCGTTCTCATGCTGGCTTCTGCTCCCCAGAACTCTCCGCAGCCACACTTTACCTGGACCCCAGGAGTCTCGCATCTGTTCTTCCAAATAACCCCTCCTTTCATATTCCTTAACATTCTAATTCCTCTGCAGAGGGCCAGTGAACGCTCAGGATGAAAGGATCTTAAAACCACCGGTATTAAGCAGCAATGACTCATGTCTCTCCCTTGATCCCTTCCCCGGGGTGTAAAGCTGTTACTTCCAAACCAAAACAAGAGGAATGGCCATTAACAAGAGTTTCAGACAGAGTGCCAGGTTGATGGATGAAACTGGGGACAGTATTCCTTCCTGGGCTGGAGGGTCTCAACCATTTGGCACATGTTCACTGCAGGCCCATGTGGGCAAGGTGCTGCTCTGGGTATCAGGACAGCCGCTGTCCCAGTGAAACAGTGGCACAGTGGTCAGAAGAAGAAACAGGGTAGGGAGCAGAGAGGGAAGC